ATTTAAGCAAAGTATACATATTTCATTTCTTCATTTGCACCTCTTTTAGAGAATGCTTTCATCAAATGTAATAGTATCTCTGAGAGTACATTATAAACTTTGAAGCATTTACAATGGCTGCTACCACCACCACCACCATTACCACCCCGCCCCAAATGCCTCACTAGATACTACAAAGATAGCTAACCATTGTCCTCTTGCTGGCCAGCTCCAGTTGATCAGGAGTGGCTTCCTGGGGCTCTGTGCTGAGAAAGGCTAAGTCTGCACACAGGCATTGAGGGAAAATACAGTAACATCTAATATCTCCTACGTGAAGACATTATAAGTGGAGAATGATCACATAGATGTCAGATACTGGCCATCTCAGGCATAGAGAGATGGTGAAATGTGATAGAGCTTTGGGCCGTTATTGACATTTTAGCTAGTATCACAAACCAAGAGACCAGCCTCACCATCTATCTTTATAGTATACGGTGACCCAGAATATAACCACAAGTAAAAAATAAATAAAATTTTGGTGAACTAGAACAAATAACCTGGAAAATTTTTTAAATGAGCTTTATCTAACAATCCAGAGTCTTCTTCCAACAACTTTTCCTTAAGTTTTCAAAGTCAAGATTTTCACATAATTCAAGTCAGGAATGAAATGAAGGGATCGTTTTCACTTGGGTAGTTTCTCACCATCCTAAATCTTCTATTCCCAAAATTAAACTCTAATAAAGCTTGTTCAAAATACTTATTTTTTAAAATCCCCAGGCTAAAGGAATCAAAATAACATTAGAAATGCTTATACTTCCTAACCCTCTTTTCTCAGGACAGAGATAGGGCTGCCAACAACATAATCAGCAAGAAGGAAGGCCCAATGAAATTAACGGGTGTATTACAAGACCCACCTCCCAAATCTTCAAATTCAGCACTCTTATTAAATAAACAACATATTTAATGGGGGAAAATACGAGAGCAACAGAGGAACACCAACTTACCCCAGAGCTATGGTCTGCCTCTGCAAGAAAGTAATTCAAGAGATTAATTCACTACTGAGGTGAAACACTTGATAATTTTTTTTCTCCCTCGTTTGCTCCTTTACTGTCCTTTGCTGTCCAAAAGAACTTTCATAAGGTTTATGTACCATTGTCAGATTTTGAGCTGTACTCTTATAGTAGCAAATTAAATTGCAAAACAACCTCCCCCCATCACCACGGCAAATGCTTGAAATTTGTTCTTATAAAATGATATCCTTTTAAATATGTCTTCTTCCAATGTGACTTGTTGCAAGGAATTATTCTAGTGAGAAAAGCCACATATCAGTTTTGGAAATGTCTTTGCTAATAGAGATGCTTGAAATGACCTTAGTGTCAAGTTGCACCTGCTGGCCCAAGAAAATTACCTTTGACCTGGATCTCAGGAAAAGGAAGATGCACTGAGCTTGAGTTAATTTCCAAGGTAACAATATACATTCCAGAGACGTAAGCAAAAACGTTTGTGGAAGATCTAAAGGAGCCATTCAATTCAGCCCAAGCTCAAACATATGCTCATCTTATATTATCATGCTCTGGCTTTTCCTTTGAAAATATGAACCGAAATTCAATTCCTGTGCAAATTAATTGTAAACATTTATGATTACCAGAATTTCTCAACCAACACATTTTGAAGTATGAAGTCAAGTAGAACTAGGAATCTTCACAATATTGACATGATTGGGCTACTTATTTTTAATCCCCGGATTGAGAATGTTTCTACCTTGCTGGCCAGAGCTACTGATTGAATCAATCAAAATTTTTATACAAATGTATAAAAGTTGCAAATAAGATTCCTCAAGGAATTTACAATGGAGGTGGGGAGATGAGTCTATCACACATGAAACAACTAGGGAATAATATGAGTCAATATATTAAGTATACTCAGAAGACAACTTTATATGGAATGAGAAAAGTGGAAGACAAAGTATCAAAGTCTTCGTGGAGGTGGGAGAAATGCTACATATAGAAAGATTATTAAGATTTGAATAAGTAGAAGGGCAAGGAAAAAGGGAGATGAGAGACCATTTGTTGAGGTAACTACCCAAAGCTATAATCTTTTTAAGTTGTATTTTATTGATTCTAAGACAATAAAGACCTTAAATTCCCAAGATCTTATTTTACATTTTAATGTCTCAGAAGCTAGGATGCAGATTCCTATCAATGACATGTCATAGTCTAACTGGCACTGATTTTCTATCATAATGGTACCATCATGGTCCTCAGTGGTTTGTCCTTTGGTTGATAATACCCTATATGCAAAGATACAGAGAATGTATAAATATCCTATAACCTAAATCACAGAAGCAGTGAAGATCGAACTGATCTTTTGCATAACACTGTAAGGCTACATGATCCTGGTTTGTGATTTCTTTTTCTTTGATTCCACTACATTAAAACCTGATTTCAGCACCTATAACAAGGAGGAATGTGCTAGTTATTAGCTTATTGCGTCTCAGTTCCAAATCAACCATTCATTGGCTGCTTGTGATACGGAAACATTTCTCCCTTGCCAGTTGGCACAATACTGATTCTATCAACAGAGGACATATGAGGCACCCTGGAAGAGAAGGTTTTTTTCCTGCTGGTTCTGGTATGTTAATTTTTCCTGCTCCTGTTGCACTGGGCTGGTAGTCAGGACGCCCCGTGAAATTCACTCCAAGCAGCTACCTTCAGAAGAACATTTTACAGGTCCTCCAGCTGGCTCTCTGAAAGTGAATTCTATGGGGTACCCAGCTGGTTTCATAGTCTCTTCCTAGTGACAGAATCCTAGTGATGGCTTCCCAGTAAATTCAATACCATCCTCCTCCCCTGGGAAGCTTCCTGGTGAATACCATTGACACCTCAGCAGACAGTTTTCTTCTTTGGGATTAAAATGGACCCCATACACCAATAGGGAAAACTTGATAGCTATTCTCAATCAGCTTTCTCAGTTAAAGCCCACCAGTGAGAGCCAAGTTAAGTGTGTGTTTGGGTTGGGGTTGGGGTTGTAGGATAAGGAGCAGAATGAGTTGACTAGGAAAAGGAGGAAGTTAATGAAGGGATATGTATGCATGATCGTCGAGGTGTTTCTAATGATCTCAAAACAACTAGAAAGCCCTACTCTCTCAACCTCTGTGCTCAGAGATGAACCTCATTATCAGAGCAATCATTATCTCTCAATCCTGATCCTATACAGAAGCTATCCTGATGCATTCAGATATAGCATAAAAGATCCTTCAACCAATAGCAAGTTTTTTCAGCATGCCAAGAAACATTCAGATGTTTCCCAAAAAAAAAAAAAAAAAAATCAGGTATTTAACATTGGAGACACAAAACAGTTGCCTGACAGTTGATTTAATGTTTCTTTTTTTTTATCCAGATGTTTTAGTATCTCATACACACTTTCCAACTATTTTGGTGCAATATTTCTTTGTACAGCTTGGCATTTTGAAGGTTGTATTGTTTTAACATTGATAAGTACAATAAATACGAGAGTAAGAAATGATTTTTGTTTCCAACTGAAAAGTATAATGAGCAGATTCATGGCTTTAAAGGGAAAGAAAGGATTAGCACAAGTAAATTACTAACTAAACTTTCTTTTAAAAAATCATTTTCCTCCACACTTAGACTTTAACTTTCCCTTGTATTTGCAGATTAGAACGTAAGACAGCTAAACTTCAGCTGAAGGACATTATAAGGCATTCTAAAGTTTTAGGTTACTTTCATCAAAGAGCCCCGTCCTTATTTAGCACTTTAAAAATAGTATAGGGATGCCTGGGTGGCTGAGTCGGTTAAGCATCTGCCTTCGGCTCAGATCGTGATCCCAGGGTCCTGGGATCGAGCCCCGCATTGGGCTCCCTGCTTGGGGGAAAGCCTGCTTCTCCCTCGCCCACTCCTCCTGCTTGTGTTCCCTCTCTTGCCGTCTCTTTCTCTGACAAATAAATAAATACAATTTTTTAAAAAATTTAAAAAATAAAAATAATATATAAAATAAGTCTAAAGTCCCTTAAAATTCTAAACCTCTCCCTGAACGTGAACACTCTTTAATCTTAAGAATAAAATTCTAGCTCTTTTTGTGCCTAGCACAGCCGTGGCTCGTGGTCCCAAGAAGCATCTGAAGCGTGTAGCAGCTCCAAAGCATTGGAGGCTGGATAAACTGACCGGTGTGTTTGCTCCTCGCCCACCTACTGGTCCCCATAAGCTGAGAGAATGTCTCCCTCCCATCATTTTCCTAAGGAACAGACTTAAGTATGCCCTCACAGGAGACGAAGTCAAGAAGATCTGTCTGCAGCATTTTATTAAGATTGATGGCAAGGTCCGAACTGATATAACCTACTGCTGGTTTTATGGATGTCATCAGCATTGACAAGACCGGGGAGAATTTCTGTCTGATCTATGACAGCAAGGGTCGCTTTGCTGTTCATCAGATCACACCTGAAGGAGGACAAGTATAAGTTGTGCAAAGTGAGAAAGATCTTTGTGGGGACAAAAGGAATCCTCATCTGGTGACTCATGATGCACGCACCGTCCGCCGTCCTGACCCCCTCATCAAGGTGAATGACACCGTTCAGATTGATTTGGAGACTGGAAAGATTACCAGTTTCTTCAAGTTCGATACTGGTAATCTGGGTATGGTGACTGGGGGTGCTAACCTGGGAAGAATTGGTGTGATCACCAACAGAGAGAGACACCCTGGTTTGTTTGACGTGGTTCACGTGAAAGATGCCAATGGCAACAACTTTGCCACCCGACTCTCCAACATTTTTGTTATTGGCAAAAGCAACAAACCATGGATTTCTCTTCCCCGTGGAAAGGGTATCTACCTCACCATCGCTGAAGAGAGAGACAAGAGACTGGCAGCCAAACAGAGCAGCGGGTAAAATGGTCCCTAGGTGACGTGACTGGAAGACTTTATACTTAATTAAAGGTCATATAGCACGAAAAAATAAATAAATAAATAAATAAATAAATAAATAATAAAAATAAAAATAAAATTCTATTCAGCATGTTTCCAAGGGCTGTGGCCCATCGTGGCCATGGGCTCCCCAACCACATGCAGGAGCAGCCTGGAGAGACTTTGACAGCACAAGTCAGCCTATACCTGCAACTGCCACTCACCTTGCCTAGAACAGCTCAGGACGTGGGCTGCAAGCTGAGTATCTGAGTCCAGCTGTTTCCATAAACTTCCATGTAGATGGGTGTATTAGAACAACTTTTTGGTTTGGAGCAAAAAAATAAAATAAAATTCTACTTTACTCACATTATCCTATTTCAAATGGATAGTTGACTTAGTCATGAATTGCCTTGTGTCTGTCTGACACATTTTTTTTTTCATTTCCTGAATGAGATTTTTTGTAAATGGAACTTGTGTCAGGATATCATCTCTGGCCTTTTCATATCCTTATTCTCTTTTCTTTCCCTTTATTTCTTGAAGCCAAAGATAGAAGAACTCAAAAAAAAGACATATGAGTTTGAACAGAAGGCCTGCTTATATTGAACAAGAAGGTATCATTCAGGGAGTCTAAAGATAAACTCAGGATGGTTATTTTAGCCATTCTCATGGGGGCCATTTTCAGCCCAGAGCCAAGGACAGAAGCAGAGGCTCGAACTCTCGTTTTATTGTGTTCAGTGTGTTTTGGATGCACTAAAGCAGCAAAATGTAGGCTAATCTTCCCTGGCCGTAGGTGACTGGAGAAAGGAGTCAAAATCCAGAAATTCATCTTACACACACACACACACACAGACACACACACACACACACCACTTTGTACATATATTCATAAGGTTACTCACATATATAAATCCATTAAACCTGTACTATATTATCAATCCTGCCAACGCTGTGCTAGAGACATTCCAATGCTCTAAAAACACATATGAGGACAGAGCATCCTCCTCCGCTGTTTTCTCTAACAAGAACAATGCTGGTTATTCTCTGAATGTGAGCTATGCAAAGGAGGCACCCTACCATCTGCTGCACTTGCTAATGAATATGTTGCCATCACAGAAAAAAACACTGGGAAAGAACCTTGAAGAACACCTAATTCCTCCGTGAAAGCTGGAAAATGAAAGGTAAGTGGGAGTGGATGACTTTCCCGAGGTCTCCCCAGGAAGTCAGTGGCATAGCAAGAAGCAGAATGTCTCTAGTCCCTGGCTCTTTCGTAACACAAAGTACCTTGGCCAACTAGCTTTTAGTTGAAACTAAAAATGTGCTCTATTTTCCTTAAGTAATGTTAATATCATCCAAGGATTTTCTCCTACCTTATTAAGATAAATCTCAAAAAATATTATTTTGTCAAACAATTTAGATTTATTTAGATTTAGATTTCCTGATTACCAATAAGGAAATGATGAGGTGTGCTCATATTCATGAATGGAGGAGGAGGAAAGATGAAATGTGGTCAATGACTTCTGATGGTAAAAAATATGAACAAGCTTGAGATTACAGATGCAGAGTTTCTGGAAAGTCCCAGGACATCGCTTGTCTACTGAAGTAGAAATCCCACTATTAATGTGTCCTTTGAGATATCTAGTCCATGCCACAATCAGAATACTTTCTTATGGGCAGAGAGGTTCACAGGAATCAGGAGGTTCACGAGGTAGCACTATGTGTTACCGCCCCGCACCCTTGAGCAATTGAGAAAGGATATATACTACCTGTACACAAATATAGCTAAAATAAGGCAGCAGCATGAGGTCATGTCCTAAGTACATTTCACTTACAGATGACTTTAGAAAGGCCTTCCCTCTCCTCCCGCAACCCCACTCCCCCCAATACACAAAAAGACACACACACACACACACACACACTATTGCATTCAATATCTACAATAACAAACAAATCCTTTAACATGTATTAATGTTAGAGAGACTGGACAACCTAACAAATTGAATACACCCATGAAGCAAGTAGGAATACTTCAGAATTCTCCACTGATACCCAATTCACTACCAGGGACTTAACAATGATCTTAAAGCACATTTGCTGGCACACCCAGACTTCTGTTATGGACTCTTCTTTTGTTCATCCTTTTAGTCTAGATCAGGGTATGTCAAATATTAGTACCCATAAGAATTATTTTTATAAACTTTAAAAATATATTATAAATATAAAACTATGTATACCATACTTTATAGAAAAATTTAAGATTTTCAAGGGCAATTCTTGCTTTACACCTTAGACTTTTAAATCCCTGCTCCAAGTAAAATGCAACTCGACCACCTGTGCAGGTGGCACCAGGGCTGGCAATGGGAGCCATGACACAGGAGCCTTACCATCCAGGTCAAGGCGTCCACATTTTGCCCATAATGCTGGGGGAAACATGAAGACTGTTGAGCAAGAAAGTGACATGGCAAAATGTGTTTAAGAAAATTAATCTGGTGACTTTGGAAGAGAGGTACTGGAAGTGTGAAGTTGAGGGGTAGGCTGGAAGAAGGGTTACCAGTGTGCAGATCATTTCAATGTGTGGGCATGAGATAAAGAGGCCCGAAATGGGAACAGTTGTAGAAATGTACAAGAAGCAAGAAGCATTGCACACGAAGATCCTGATATCTGACTGGATATGAATGGAAATACCAATAATGTAGCATAGTTATTAAAAACAAAGACTTTTCCATTTTACAGATCAGGATCAAATTCCAATTCCCACCACCATCTAGCTGTGTGATCACAAACTTTTACTTAAACTCCCTCTGATGATTTACTTCATGTATCAACATCACCAGGCCACTGGTTGTCCAAACATCTAGGTTGTCTATAAGAGTGTCCCTGGATGAGATTAATACTCGAATCTGTAGACTCAGAAAAGAGATTGCTCTCTCCTTAATGGAGGGGCGTCTCATCCAATCAATTGAAGGCCTGAATAGAACAAAAAGGCCAATAAGAGTGAACTCCTCCTGCCTGACAGCCTTGAGCTGGAACATTGTTTTTTTTCCCCAGCCTTCAGATTTGAAATGTAACATCAGCTCTTCTTAGGTCTTCAGCCTGATAATTTTCAGATGAGAACTACACATCAGCTCTCTTGGAACTCCAGGGGACCTCAGCCTCCACAGTCACAAAAGCCAATTCCTTAGAATAAATATATTATAGGTACATAGTATATGTATGTATTATTCCATATGTGTGTGTGTGTGTATTTAATTGGTTCTGTTTCTCTAGGGAACCTTGGCTAATACACTCACGTAGCTACATTTTCTTTATATGTACAATAGGCTCTATAAATTTACTCACAGTGTTAATATGAGGATTAAAATGAAGTAAGGTTGGGGAGTCTGGGTGGTGCAGTCGGTTGAGCATCCAACTCTCAGTTTTGGCTCAGGTTATGATCTGAGTTGTAAGATCGAGCCCCACATCAGGCTCCATGCTGAGCACAGAGTCTCCTTGAGTTTCTCTCTCTCCCTCTCTCTCTGCCCCTCCCCCCTGCTTGCACATTCTCCCTCTCTCTCTCTCTCTGAAATAAATAAATAAATCTTTTAAAAAATGAAGTAAGGTAGGTTTGTGTGGCATAAAAAAATGTTTATGGTGAAAACAGAGCTTTTGAAAAATTAAGCTTTTTGAAGTGATGTAGAGTTACTTTAATCTGTAGGTTTCTTATGCAGTAAACAACTCCTAAGAGTATGTGGGGTTTAGGGGAGAGAAGGGCAAGTCAGATGTGTGACAAGCATTTCCATGAACCATGACTGTGCCCTGAACCATGCTTCGGGTTAATAAGGTCTTCAAGATAATTACAGAAGGATAGGAGGAAATAGCTTGTGATTGTGTAGTTGCACTACAAAACGAATCGTAGGTGAATCCTGAAGCTGCTGGAAGGTGTACCATAACGTCACCTAACAGTGATGTCGGTTCAACAGAGTAGCTGCAGTGCCCCGCCTACTGCCATGGATGGACTGTTTCCAAAACAACATCCAAAAGAGAAATTAAAAGGACTCTTAAGAGTGAAAGCATTAAGGAGAGAGAGAGCAAAAAGAATTTTTTAAGTATTTGAACTGAAAACCTCTGAAGCAAGAAAGTTTAATAAGGGTTTTGAGTTTCTGCCTGTGGGAACAATGAATGGGGACCAATGTAACTCTTTTTGAAAGCACAGATTGCCATCATTAAAAAAAGAAGGCATGAGGATATGAATGAGTCAGAATTTGGAGAGGGATTTTCTTAAATGTGATGAGATTATAGACTTAAATTTTAGATTAATGAAATGTTGAGCCAGTGAATAATTTAGCAACACAAGACTTCTTGAATGAGTAGAAAAAGATGATAAATAAAATTGATATTCTAGTATAATATAACCCTTTTGGAGCACTAATAAAAAATTCACTTTGGGGGGAAGGGGGATATGGGAGTTGCTGTTGAAAGGATATAAAATTTCCTTTGTGCAAGATGAATAAATTCTAAAGATCTGCTGTATAATATCATGCCTATACTTAACAATACTGTATTGTGCACTTAAAAGTTTGTCAAGAGGGTAAATCTCATGTTAAGTGTTCTTACAATTAAAAAAAATTACACTCATTATGGCAGTGTGGGGAAATAAAACAGGTAATTTTTAAACATCAATTAACTAAGTAAATGCAGCAAAAATTTTTCCCAGTCTCAAATCATATTCATGGAAAGCAATAGAACATAGAAGATATTACTTCCAGAAGTTGACGACAAATGGTGTTTTTTGAATATTACTGAGTGCCCAATACCATCATTATCAGACTACTAAAATAATATTAATGATAGAGCGCTACCTTACATTTGTGTGATTCCTCACCATTATCAAATCCCATTCATTTTGGCTCTACCCAGGTACCTCAAACCATTAACTGCCCACAGACTCCTTGTTTTCCTAAACTCTGACCTGTGCTCCTTACTGATGACACTTTGTGACCATGGCTACCAATGCGTTTCATCAGCATTGGTTGATGCCAACATATCCCACAAGCTCTGCCGGTAATTTCAAGATGTTTCTCAAATCAAGCTGTGCAATGACATGAAAAAAATGCTAATTATATTCCAAAAGGTGCCGCAAGTTCTCAAAGCAAATTTAATCTTAATTTTCAAAACGAATCCATATGTTAAGTTCTGGCCCGCCATTGTACTATAAAGGATGAATAGGGGTGGCAATAACGTGAACAAATGAAAGGGCATCA